GCTTGATGTGGAACCCCTCCTGGGGCCAGAGAGGCCAAAATCCTAGAAAGGCCCCCAATATCATCTCCAGATGACTTATCCACACAGTCACAGCATAACTGCCAAGAGGAATGAAAGAGAAAACTCAGATTATACCATTAGCTGCACAGTGTCCATTCCCCTATCTGGCCACTAGCAAGGACCTGCATAAATCTGGTAATAGCCAATGAACAATGTGACTACACTGCAAAACATTTTGTTTCTGTAAACTAAGTGTAAATATTCAAAATATACTCTCCAATTTTTATCCTTGTTTTATCATTTCTTCTATGAAAAGTAGTGGAAGAAAGCAGCCTAAATTAAAAGTAGTCATGTCCCTTTCATCTTCTGATAGTTTCTGGTAAATATTTTTGAAGATCAGGTTCATAATCAGAGGAATAAAACCATGCAGTATGAAAAATGGTAACTAGCATTGATTTTTTAAGATTCTGAATATCTGAGCCAGGAGGCTTTGTAGTAGCACCTGACTCTGCTCACATTCTGACCAGTGCTCTACTAGCTATGAAACAGTGGAGGTGTTATTTAATAGCACTTAGTCTCTACTTCCTTCTCCTTAAGAATGAAGACAGTAAGTTTCTGCTTCATCAGGTGTTATGTGGAATGAATGCCACCTTAGCAAACAGAGCGGGTTTGCACCTTGCATAAGAGAGGTCAGTACACCCTCCCTAACGGAGACTTCACTGGGGGCAGTATTCTGGTATGACTTTGCATTGGCTGGGGAGGCAGAGGCAGATCTGGCTGCTCACCACAACACTGTGTGACCTCCAGCAGGTCATTATCACCTCAGTGCCCGCCTTGAAAGAGGAGAGTGCTGCATTAGGTCCACAGAATACTAGTCCTTTAAGAGTGTGGATGTGGCACAAGACTACTTTGATTCACACCCTGTGTGACTGCTCAAATTACATAATCTCTGTCTCAGTTTCCCTTTTGGGAAGTGGGACTAGTAATCCGTTGTACCTTATGGATTTTTTGTGAGAAGTTAAATGAGTTAATATCTCTAAAGACTTAGAAGAATGCAACAAGAGCTCGGTGTCAAGTACTGTTATTTTTATTGTTTCTACACGCCTTCAGAAGTCCAATCCAACTCCAGTCTTCTGGAAGATTCTACTCCAATAAAGAGCCTGTGGTGGCCTCACTCCACCAGCCTCTACCCGCCTCTGGGAGTTCCAGGTGTCAGTCACCTTTTTTAGTCCTTGGGCCAACTATGCCTCCTGGGCAGGCCTCTGCAGATTAGAGAACTGGATTCTCACTTAAGTTTCTCCATGACTGAAAGGTGCTTTGCAAGTATGAAATTGCCATTGGGGTCTCCAAAGTCTTTGTTCCTCTGAGACTATACAAAATTCATTACCTTGCAGGCAGTGTGAGGAAGACACGAACTGATGCTGACCATGGGCTCCACTGGAGATAGAGAGGCATGCTAACCAGACAGGTAGCTGGGGAAGGAGGCAGCATGGATGGATTGAAAGAGCAGGAGACCAGAAGGCAGCCCTGAACAATGGCCCAGGGAAGACAGGAGCAAAGCACAGGGTTAAGTATTGTCTGTCTCCACCAGCCCTCACAACTTCATCTTCCAGGGTGGATCAGTCAGGGTTTACTAGAGAAACAGATACAACACAAGATATACAACTGTATAAGAAATTACAAGATTGGCTTACAATGGTTAGCCATAAAATTGAATAAGGAAGGGAACATGCAGAGGATGTCTGCATGCTACAGGTTGAAGGGTCTAGCCCAAGGGCATTAGCTTACTGCAGTGTCCTGTGCAAGGAGACTGATGTATCTATGATGGAACACTGAAGAATCTATGATAGGAGACTGAAGAGTCTATTATGAAGGCTGAAGAGTCTGTGGCAAAGGCTGAAGAGTCCCAGGCAGAGGCCAAACAGCCTGTGCCAAAAGCCAGGAGAGGACATCCAAGCTGAAAATGAAGGCTGGAGCTCCTCCAAAGAAGCAGCAATCAGCCCTCATCATTTGCAGGCTGCTTCGCTGGGGTGGATGTAGCACTCACACCATCAATCCCAGTGCTAAACAGTGAACCAATCACGAACACTAGATTCAGCCACGTCCATAATTGCGTGAGGCTTGGGGAGGCCACTTAGACATTAACCATAACACAAGGTAAAAATTGTGGCTAACCAGAGTCCCTAGAGGAAGAAATGGACCCAAATCCTTGAAGCCATTTCTATGGTCAGTACATGGATTTCTCTCTTCCACAACAGTCCAACTGTGTTGGGCATGTGCACATCCATGCATGCATATATGTGCATGTGCATGCATGTGTGTATGTGTGTGTGTGTGTGTGTGTGTGTGTGTGTGTGTGTGAATGTGTATTTGCTTAAATGACATTTTCATAATCTACTTCTCTGGACCCTAGTTGGGTCAAGAGAGGATACTGCTCCACGGAGAATGTTCTTTTTGGCTTTGGGGTAAAGACATTTTTATATCATGACATAGAGACAATGGTAGTCTTTCTCCTGACTCACACAGAATTCTTACTTTTAAGCCTATAGGACCAACTTAGCGTGTCCCAGGACTACAGGATGTTTATGTTGGCTGGAATTTCAAAGCCCTTGACACGGGGAGCAAGACAGCCCCAGAGGGAGACTCCAATGGGGCCAGAGCCTCTTGCTATCTGCCATATAATGCGTTTCCCTCTTGCAGGGACAGGAGAGTTTTAATAGATTATAATTCTGTCCTTACTCAAAGTCTCCATGCCCTTTCTATAAGGCAGTGAGAAAGAGTAAATGATACACACAAATCCCTTGCCCAGAGTTGTTCTGACATATAAATTGCAACAACTAATAAAAAATTCTTGTTTTTATCTCCCAAAAGAAGAGTCTAACAGGAGATGTGACTGATTAACATGTGGGTAATAGGGAAGACCACTGGAAGAGTCATAACATCTGGTTTCTTGGCTTGAATACTGGCCAAAAAAAGTCTTAGGAGGAACTGGGTTCCAGATTGGGCCCCTATTTTCATTCCTAACTTACTGCCTGCCAGTCACAAAGTGCACACCCAGTGTCTGGGACAGGAAATTTGGGAGGATTGAAAATTCTTACCTTCATATGGATGCAGGATATCTAGGCACAGTCATGTATCACTAAATACTACATTTGATAGAGGTTAAGTGGTGGGTGGGAAATATTTGACTGTCTCAATTCTTTGAAGTCCTCAAGTTTCCACCTTTTCACAATGACAGAGATCCAAGTATAATACAGAGTAGAAGAGAGGCAGCCCTAATTGGTGGGTATTAAACATACCTGGACTTATGGGCCTACTGGTCATCCACAGGCCTCAGGGAAGAGCCCACTAGCTCCTTGGGTTACCATGGAGGAGCCTGATATGTTGTAGGGTTCCACATTGGGTTGTGTTCACAGTTTATCCCTGCCCTTCTTGGATGATGCAACGGACTGAGTCATCAGGACTCCCAGAAGCCAAGACCCCTGCAGGCCAGAGCCCCCCCAAAAAGCACAAACACCTTAGGGCTATTAGGTTGCCCTCCTGGAGGCCACACTCTGACATCTCCACTGCCCTCCAAACCCTTCTCCTCCCTGTACCAGACTGAACTTTTAAAGAACACACATTGGATCCTGTCACTGCTCCAGCTTAAAGGAACCTCAGTAACACTTAGCAGAGAGGTCAGAACTTTTCAGTGGCTTTCAAAGCTTTCCTGTCCAAACTTACCTGGTGCCATTCTTACCCTGGCTTCCTAAGACCCAGGTTCCCAATCTTCTTTGCTCCTTCTTAGTCTTCAGCAGAGTTTACAACTCAGTAATTAATGTCTGCCCGCTCCTATTGGGCCATGAGCTTCATGAGAGGAAGGTCCTGTTGTTTGTGTTCCCAGAACCTGAAACACACAAAGAGCACACACAAATGCATGTAACACAAGTGTGTAAGAAATCAAACTTCCCTTCTCAGAGCTCATTCAGAAGGAGCTCCTGTACAACTGGTGTGGTGCTAATCCAACTGTGGAAATACTTAGTATCCTTCAGTGGAAGGAAACATTAGCACCATTTCCACCTTTAATTTCTATTCCACCTCACTCTTCTTTTGAGATGGGGTCTAAGTTGTCCAGGCTGGTCTTGAACTCCTGGGTTCAAGTGATCCATTTTAGCTTCCTAGGTAGTTGGGACTACAGGTACACATTTCCTTTACCAGCTTCTCACTTGAATCCTTGATCAATCCTTGCTTACTGGAGATAACAAATCATGTCTTTGTTCTAAGGGAGAGAGCAGATACTGCTTCCAAAGGAAGCCAGATGGCCTCATCACCTTATCTCCTGGAACTCTCCCTCCCTCCCCTCTGCTTTGGAAGGATCTGTGGCCACCACTCTGCTTCCAGTTTCCACCTTCCATCCATGCATCCTCAAAACCCCTTTCATTTGCCCTGCCACTTCTATCCCCAGCTCAGTTGGCCAGGCCACCCCTCCTATGCTGTACTTTAAAAATCTCTAGATTGTGCTCACCTTCTCTAGATCTCCTGCTCTGCTCTTCCCAGGGTCCCCAATTTCTTGCCATTCTCAGGCAGTCTTTGGGCCCACACTCTCCTGGGTCTGTGACTAGCTCTCAAAATTCATTGGCTATGTGCTACCACTTTGAGGTAGGATTCTCCAAAAGAGAGTGGCCTTGTGTGTCTATGTGACTTATGGCTGGAAGGTCCCAAGGGATGAATGTAGCTGAAAATGTAAGGCTTTGGATGATGAAATTGTCCCTGCTAAGAGCCATCAGTGAAAGGAGGCATCAGAAGCACACTTACACTCAGCTGATCTGGCTAAGGTTTAAAGGTTTGCAAAATGAGGAGCTGAACAGGCAGATGTCACCAGACCCTTCCATCTCTGACCTTCTTCAAGGCTAGCGTTAGCCCTGGGGGGCCCTGCCCTGCCAAGCCTGGGTGAAGGAGGAGGGAGGCAGGGTGAGTGGGAGGGGCGGAGGGAGCTGAGGCGCCTGAGTTGACCTACATCTGCTCCAGCACTGCCTGGCCACTACCAGACGGTTCAGAGCCTCTGGCAGTGTGCTGCAGCTGGACATAAGGAGGGGACGGACAGGAGGCTGCTGGTGTATCCAGGTAAGTGGGTACTGCACATCTGGTTGCCTGTTCAGGCCAGGAAGGGCAGAGACAGAGACACTGACATATTCTATAAGTTTTTTATCCATGGAAAAACAAAGGGCAGAAGATTAGCCCCAGAAACATTATCTGGCTGGCTGATCACACACTGGGGTGCACCTGTATGTCTCATAGATATCGCTGAAGAATATTTGGAAAGATAATTTTGGTTAATCCTGTCTGCATGATTCTTCCCTGGCTCTAATTTTCTGGGTACTAATTTGTTCTGAGTAACAACCAGATTAAAAATCCCACTAGCAGTCCTAAATTGGAACCTCAGGACTGCGATTTGTAATATTTTGATTAATAACTTGATCAGAGCAGTTCTGAGAAATTTCACTTGATTCTTCCTACCAGTTGAGAAGTTGGAGGTAACAGGGATCTGAATTCCGGGAACAGAGCAGCAGTTGGGACTGGGGGTGGTAAGAGAAACAAATCATAACGAGAGGACATAACCAGGGGACATAGCCAGGGGGCATATTCAGGGGTTCCGGCTGAGAGACTCAGTGGAATGAGCTGACAGGAGGCCATAAGCTACTGTGTTTGCTGTAAGGTATTAGGATGCTTTTCAATTGTGCGAATGAATCACGGAGGAAAAAATTCATTTCCTTTCCTGCTCCCTTCAGTTGAGCCTATATCCTTTTAGTCTCCAACCAAACAGATCTATTAGCCATTGCCATTGATCTTGTACTCAATCTAGCATATTCCTGAAGAAGGTAGAAGTCCGGAGCGTAAGGTAGCTTCCCATCAGACCCTGAGTTCCCTCTTCTGCTTTTCCAGCCTCTTAACTTGACCTGCAGGAAGCTAAGGAAGGGGCTGGCATTGACGTTATATTTCTCATGTGACAAACAGCCCAGGCATCAGCTGATCACGAGCTGGGGGTGATAATGATGAAGAGAGTAACTAAGATAGCTGTGTTGGACTCAAACTACTTCAGGGCGGGGGTCATGGCTGTCCTGGGGACAGGATGGGATGGAGAGTCTGGTGTCTCCCCCAGCATGGCCCTCATTAGCAGTGCCCTCCTCTGTCCTTTTTCATGACTCCTTCCAGTACAGTGGTGCCCATGACCACTTCGAAAAGTGGCTGGCACATCATGGGATTCCAGCATGCCAGAGGGCAAGTGCTCATGCTGAAAAGAAGATGCACTGGTTCAGAAGTACCAGGGGGTAGACAGTTGTGAGACTGAAGTATACCCATTGGAGGGCGTTATTCTTTCTGTTGTCTGTGATTCTGTATTGACCCCTGGGCTTTCTGGGCAGGAAATGGAAATGCTTGGCTATGGATCAGCCACACAGGAAGCAGAGTTTCTAAAACAGTTCTTTCAAGTTTTCCCCAATTCCATGCTGCCCCACAGGCAACTTTCCTCCCTCTCCTATGTGGGACTCACTGTTGGTCATAAACAGATAGTTGCAACTGAAAGGAAAGTGGAGGAGACACTGGTGGTGGTTGGGTGAGGCTGAGACACATGTGTGTTCACCTGACACTATAATTTACTGCCTCGAGGGGAGCGGATGGATTTATGGTGATCCCATTGGCCTGGGCATAGAAGGGCTCTTAAACCGCCAAGTCAGGGACTCTCCTCCTCCATAGACCTTGAGACCTGAAAGACTTCAGATAATTTGAGGATGAGAGGTAAAGGGATGCCAGGCTCTGCAGTAAATCTCAGAGTTGGGGAGGATTCAGGAGGCTGAAGAATTTCCTTAGAGGATTCACACTCCAAAGTCAAGAGGTCAAGGCTGTTAACAGCTGGAAGAACCCTGAATGAGCTTTGGAAAAGCTGTGACTCACACTCTTGGGGGTCATGGGCCCAGGTCCCACCAGAAGGCCAGGCTACCAGTCCAGTAGGCAGGCTCAGCACTGTGGTTTCCTTTACCTGGGAAACGTAAATTGGCATCAATCTACCTCCTGCCTTATCTCTGGGGAGCTGGTTTGCTGGAGCCAGGGAATTGTGGGAAAATGCAGTGCCTGCTTGGGGTTAGGTAAGCTCTGGCGTAGCAGTTTTCACAGTGTATCCATCTAAGATACTGGAGAGTGAACTGATGGTGTGGGAGGGGTGGACAAGACCTGTCTGGACTTCTCCTAAGCAATTTGTCTTCCATTCTTAGGAGATCAGTTTTCACCTCAAGAGCCAAAGAGCAGCCAGAGTGATGGCAGGTGAGAGGAGAACTGATCACCCCTCCAGCCCCAGCCCTGTGACTCTCCTCATCGGGTGGGGAGGAGACAGGGTAGAACCCACGACATCTTTGTGTTTAATTGTTTTTCTTTCAGTTTTGGCTTTCTGTTTTGATTTGTTTTCCCAAGAAAGGGACACAGGGCTCCCACATGGGCTCCTACTTCCTGAGAAGGAGCCATTTCTCATCTCTCATTCCTAGCTTTTCCCTAGTGACACACTGAGGGTCTTCCCAGGGTGCTCCTTGTCATTTCCTGGGGGCTCCTTTCACACCATCAGATTCCCACTGGAAAGTTAAAAAGGAATATTCCCGGAGGGAGGATGGACAACCCTGCTCCAACAATGGGGGAGAGAAGGGGCTTTGCTCCTTGCTTGAGTGGGTGGGCGCTCCAGGCTGCTGAAGGGCATCTACGAGACGGGAGGGGGCAATCTTCCTGTCTCCTGCTCTCCAGGGAAGCCCGTGAAGAAGTCCACCCTTCCTGGGGTAAGCATCCGGCAGCTGGTGGAGGAGATTCCTGAAGGCTGCAGCACACCGGACTTTGAGCAGAAGCCTGTTACCTTGGCTCTGCAGGAGGGTGAGCCCTGGGGCACTGCTGAGGGAAGACGCCTTCCCTGTTCTTCCTTGTAGCAAGCACAAAAGGAGAGAGCTTGAGTACGATCAGTGTCTATACCATCACCAGGATGTATCTTATCTCCCTTGTGTGCTTGAAGGGTGTCTGCCTGCCTGGATCCCAGTTAGGGGCAAGAAGCCTGGGAGAAGAATACACAAAGGACATGTAAGAAATATCAGACAAGGATGGGGAATGCTGAGCTGGGGAGCAGGGACAGGTAGTAGTGTTTCCCGGTCTTCCCTTCCCCTGCCTCCTTCAAAGCCACTGCTGCAAAGATACCTGGTCAAAACTGCACCTCTCAAGCTTTCATCTGGTTAGCCACATGCCCAGTGGCCCAAGATGAGGCTCAGGAAGGCCATTCTAGAAGGCTATGGGAAAAAATGCCAGAAAAGTGGCAGAATCCAGGGTTTCTGGGGAAAGGCTGGAAGCTGGTATTCTTCCCCCAATACAGGGTCTTGCAATAAATTGTAGTTCATGACATTATGGTATGAGATAACAGTGCTTGTCATACCAGATGTCATTCAGAGGGCCAGTGATGTGGGTCATAAGAGAATTTACCAATAGACAAGAGTATTGGAATCACAGAGTTTATTTAGGTCAGTGAGTGCACTGTCAAAAGGGGCAGCAGGTGAGTTTCCAAAATAGGAGCTGCGTGCCAGGCTGAGAGGCTGGGGTTTTTATGAGAGAATGAAGATGGGGGAAGGATTTGAGTTGGCAATGTGGGTATTGTAGAAATGCATGCCCCCGGGCATCCTGTCCTTCATTAATCTTATAGGAACACCTGCATCGTAACTACAGCGGGAGACCAAAATTGCAAATTATAAGGCCCCTCACTTAGGCCTCAAGAAAAGCTCTTTCTGTTTAGCCAAGGGTATACCTATGTGTTTTAGCCTTTGAGGGAAAAATATAACTTTGGCTCAGTGGAGTGTTTCCTGTACTGACTTTTTATCTCACTCTTTTTTGAGGAGCACTAGTGCAAGGGCTTCTTGACGGCCCAGTGTGTGCTGGGCAAGCAAGATCTCAAAGAAGTTTGGATGCTGAGATCTTTAATTCTTTTCTCACATTCTTTTCAACAGGAATCTGTTTTTCTAAATCTGACTTGCCTCTCCTCACCACAGACAGTCCAATCCGACCCTTCTCATAGGGAGCCCAAAACTCCGTAGTCCAAAAGCCAGGCCTGTGTTGCTTCCATGTGCCTGAATACTACACCTTTCCACTTGACCTTATGAGTCCTGAGTCCGGGGGAGGACACTTGGTACCCTTCCTGGAATAGGCGATTGAAATTTCCAAGCTGGGTGTGGGGGCGCATGCCTATAATCCCAACACTAGAGTGAGGCCAGAAAATCTTTGTGAGTTTGAGGCCAGCCTGGGCTACATAGTGAATTCAAAGCCAACCTGAACTATATAGCAAGATCTTGTCTCGAAAAGCCAAAACCAAAACAAAACAGAAGAAGAAATTTCCAGAGCAGGGAGGATGGCATAAATTAAAATCTCTGTGAAATATACTGTCAAGCACCCTCCCCCTGCTCACACACACACACACACACACACACACACACACACACCTTGTTGGTCTCTCCAACCGCCATTTCTGGTTGCAGGGAAAAATGCCATATTCCGGGTCGTGGTCTGCGGAGAGCCCAGACCTGAAGTGCGCTGGCTGAGCACCAAAGGAGACCTCAGCAACTCCAGCAAGTACCAGATCTCCTCGGCCCCAGGCAGCAAGGAGCATGTGCTGCAGGTGAGCCCTGCAGCTTGTCTCTGACCTGGCTCTACCTATCCCTTCCTGTCCTCTTGCAGGTCTCCCAAGCAGCCTCCAGTGCCCAGTTAAGTGCATTAACTCTGTCCCCTGGCCCAAGAGTACCTGAGCCAGGAGTGGGATTGGAGGCTCAGAGATGCAGTTTCTATATGTAGCCCAGGAGTGGCTGGGCTGGAGCAGAAGAGTTGAAATCATAGAACCAGATTGCCCAGTTACAATCCCAGTCTACCCCTTTAGCTTTGGAAAATTACTGACCCTTTCTATCTCTGTTTCCTCATCTGGGAAGTGGGGTAATATTATAATACCTACACTAAAGAGTTATGAGGATTAGAGGTGTTTACATAAATTGTCTAGCCTGTGGTTGTCTCTATGAGTACAGTCTTCAACTTGTGATGGTTTGACTTACAAATTTTAACTTTATGATGGTGCAGTAGTGCAGTGCATTGCATAAAATGTACTTTGACTTCTGCATTTGGTTGTTCCTGGGCTAGTGATAAGAAGTGTCACATTATCAGTGTTACATGTGATCACAAGGGAAGACACTCATCCTATAGTGTGTTCTATAGTGTATTCTGGTCAGTGAGTTATATAACACATCCAGTACCTTATTAGAAAATAGGTTTTGCATTAGATGATTTTGTCTAAATCTAGATTAATACAAGTGTTTGAAGCACTTTTTCATGTTTGGCTCTTCACAATTTCATCTTTGTTTTTTAAATTAATAAATTTTTATTAGCATGCATTTTTGATATTAATGGTACATCCATCATGGGGAGCTGGTACATATACATATCACACCTTAACCCTTCTTACTCCCCTTTCTCCCTTCCTTTTCTCTCCATCTCTAGATCTCTTTCTCATCTGACAAAGGTGTATCTCCCTGTTTCCTATTGTCTGTCTTTTATTTTTCTCTTTAAATTACTTATACTTTGGGTTTCTCATACAAAAGTAACCTTGAAACTTTTACATCTTTTTTTTGTTTGTTTTTGTCTTTTTTTTTTTTTATTGGTACCAGGGGATCAAACTCACGACTACCTGCTTGCAAGGCAGGCGCTTATGCCGCTGAGCTAAATCCCCAGCCCCAAAACTTTTACATTTTAGTGTCTGATCTGAGTACAGCTAAGGTAGGCTAAGTTGAGTGGTGATGTCCAGTAGGTTAGGTATATTACGTGCATTTTAAATTTATGATATTTTGGGCTGGGATGTTAGCTCAGTAGCATAGACACCTGCCTGGAAAACATAAGGTCGTGAGTCCAATCCCCAGCACCACAAAATAAAAAAACAAACAAACAAATAAATATATGATATTTTAAAATCATAGCAGGTTTATTGGGATCCAACTCCAAAGCAGGTCAATGAGCATCTGTATTCAAGCAGTCTTGGTTAGTGTTGGTAGTGATGTACATCCCAACCATGTAACATTTTTGGGCCAGGCAGTGGGCTAACTATCTGATACAGATTACATAATTTAATCCTGATCAGTCATTACTTTCTGACCATTACTGTCCCTATATTGCAAGTAAAGATATTAAAGCTGAGAGAGGTTGGATATTTTGCCCCAAATCCCACAGCGAGGAGAGGTGTTTTCAGTTCCATATCTCCCTGCCCACAAAGCCAGTTCTTTCTGCTGTTCCACATGTCTTCTGCCAGGAAAGACAGCCGTCCTATGTCCAGGTTTTTGGTATAATGGTGGAGGCGGGGTGTCTGTATTTCTTGATAAAGAGTGGGAGCTCCTTGAGGACAAAGGCTGTGGGCCACTCACTCCTCTTTACGTGACATTGACGCACAGCTACATCTAGTAAATGAACGAAGGGGAAGCTTTAGCCCCTTTTCGCTGTCCTTGATCGCTGCTACAGATTAACAAGCTGACAGGAGAGGACACAGATCTGTACCGCTGCACCGCTGTGAACATGTACGGAGAGGCCACGTGCTCAGCGAGACTTACTGTCATTGAAGGTGGGCTTTTCTCGGAGGCGCCCATCAGGGCACAGGGACCACAGGTCTGGTGGGGGAGAGGCTGCCACTGCCTCACCTGGTGCTGGAGCCCTTGGCTTCCTCATTACACATAAAATCTGCTGGTGATGGCAGAGACACGAGCCTCTGCAGATACCCTGTTGCAGGTGCTCTGAGTGACGCTCTCTTGGCCTACGAGAACCAGGCCAAAACCTGCAAGTTTGTTTCTAGATCTCTCTGAGCTTCAGTTTCCCAGATGTACAGGCCTATATCAGAGGTAAAAACACACCACACAAAGGGAAAAATCCTGTCTCAGATGTATTTTACTTTGTTTGCATGGTGTTTATAGTTTTTAAAGTTGTCTGTCATCATAATGGGAAGGTAGATATCTTTTGAGAAAACAGATGCTATCTCTCAATGAGTCATGCGTATTATTGGTTTGTCTACAAGTACTAAAAAAAAATCCTGGGGCTGGGGATTTAGCTCAGCGGCATAAGCGCCTGCCTTGCAAGCAGGCAGTCGTGAGTTCGATCCCTGGTACCGATAAAAAGAAAAAGACAAAAAATTTAAAAAATTTAAAAAAATTTTAAAATCCTGCTAAAATAATCCCAAGGAATAAATATATTTCATCACTTCACCTGGTAAGAGTCTGGGGCTCATTCTGTACATGAGGGTTGGCGCTGGGAGGGAAGAGGTGGTCCCAGATACATTTGCCCCTCTTATTACGGAAGAAACACCTTTTTCAGGAATCCTTGGGGAGTTTTTGCTTAGGCCTTATTGGCCAGAACTGTGTCACAAGGCTATGACTAGTTAATTGTAAGGGAAACTGGGAAAGCAGGCATGTAGTTTTTCCAGCCTCGCTAGTGGAAGCAGGTGATGGAGAAGAGGATTACAAGTGACTGCAGGAACAGCCAAACAGCAGTGCCTAACATATTTGGCAATAGTGGGTCTTTTCCCTGGAACACAGCGAAAGAGCAGCTGTTCCTCTAGATGCCCTTCAGTCCTCTGTGGCTGCCAGAGCTGCTTCACTTATTTACACCACCTCCCTGGCCCCTGTGGACATGTGAGTGGACTTCTCCTTCACCAGGTGATATACCGGCTGGTTTCTTGGGTCATGTGAGGTCTCTGGGGTACCAGAGCACCTGATGGATACACCTTTGTCCTGTTCCATCCCTCCTGCTGGGAGGCTATCATGCCTCAGAGGACAGGGCAGCTCAGAGCTCTGGGACTCAGTCTGTTTCTCAGACAGATCACTAATATGTCTTGCCTCTTTCCCTGGCTGTCTGCATCAATTCCTTCCTCTACTCCCTGATGGTCCAGTTGGCTTTTGGAAGAACCGGAAGAGACAGAAAGAACCCCAGGAAGGTAAATGAACTTACCCAAAGGCTGTGGGTGTCTGTGGGGTTAAGCTGCTCTTTGCCCAGTGTTCCCATCTGGTCCAGCATCCTACCTGTGAAAATGGTCTTATTCTTCTCCTTTTCTAGACATCAGGAAGGAAATCATGGACTTCAGGAAGATGCTAAAAAAGAGGTAAGTCTGGGCCTGTCCTGGGGGAGTTTGGACCTCTTGCTCCTTCCATAAGTAAGCTGCACTCAGGCTTTGTCTCCTCCTCCAACAGACAGGGAGCTGGGTTTATCCCATGGGAGGATGCAATGAGCACTGAACTGAGATTTTCAATCCAGCTTAGTCATTTTAAAACCCTCTCCTCGAGTTAGTCATCTCTTCTTTCTGGGTTCTGACCTTATTTGCAAAAGGGGGTGTCCCACTACAACTGTGTTTTCCAAAAAGAAAAATTTAAGCAACGGAACAATTTAACTCCACCCGTATCCCTCCTCAAAAACATCCTGCTGAGAAATCAACAATTCAAGTTATTAGGAGCCAAGTTTTCCCTAGAAGCTGGAGCTATGGCTTGAGGCTTGCCCCTTCCATCTCTGGGTCCTTCCTGTCTGGTTAGTGGTCAGCCCCACAATTTCCAGTCCCTGTATCTGCTTCCTCAAATGTACCTAGAGCAGCTTCTAGGGAATTCTGGGAACGTCAGGAGTGTTGGCCAGGAGGCCAACACTTGAGGCTCCTCTGGCCTCTCACCTGCCAGCCCTGCTCCCTAGGGCCCCACCTCCAACTCCTGAAGAGAAGTTGGAGTCTGAGCAGGTGTGGCAGCTGCTGATGCATGCTGACCGGAAGGACTATGAAAAGATCTGCTTAAAGTATGGTATCGTGGACTTCCGGGGGATGCTGCGTAAGCTGCAGGAGATGAAGAAAGAACAGGAGCATGAGATGGCAAAGGTACCCTCACCCTGCCCCCAAAACCACCCCTGGCACTCAGGGACCTGGAGGGGCACTTGGAGTTGAGCATTGGGGTAACCCAATGTAGTTGGGAGTCTTCCTCCACCAGCCCCCAGTGAGGTGTCTTACCAAGGGCCCAACTGCCAAGTTAGCATCCAGGCTTTGAAACCTGTTTCTGATATTTACTAAACACTAAGGCTTTGTATAAAGTAGGATCTCTGTGTCTTGTCTCCCTCATCTACAAAATGGGAATTATATTCACACCTAATTCCTACAGTTATTAGAGCACAAATGTAAGAATGTACTTAAAGCAATTAGCATAGTGCCTGACACATGGTCAGGGCCCAATGTCAGCTGTCTTCATCACCAGACAGTGTACATACTTTATTTTAGAAGATTTCCAGGAAACAGAATTTCACAATTGCTATTAGTACTTTGATTCTAGTGTGGTCAAGATCACTTAGGAAGTTCTTTTCTGTATCTACAATAACTGTAAGCCTAATTTTTCTTCTAGAAATAGAAAACAGCTAGTTTTCATTATCCTGAAAATAGTATCTTACCCTTTTGAAGGTGCTTACTCAAACCTCCCACCTGGACCTCAACTCTCTGAGCTTTCTCATCTGCTTTAACACAGGAATCAGCACAGAGCTTTTGTGTCCATGAGCTGTCCAACTCAGGTCTAGTAGCTGGAAGAACAGATGAATAAGAAAGCCCTAGCATGTTCTCGGAGCACCTGGGCACCTGTGATCCTTTCTTGTCTGCTTTTCAGATCTGTCATTCAGAGAACTTCCTGTATTGGGAACTTAAGTCCTCCTGGTCCTAAGATGGGCAAAGGCTTGCTCGGCTGGGACACTGTAGCCAGCAGTGGAACCAGGATCTGTAAGGGTTGGAATGCCCAGTGAGAGCTTCAGAGCTACCTCAATGGGTTTGTCTTCTCTATAGTATGTCCACGCTATCTCCAATTTGAGGCACATCAGAGTCTCCAAGGAGGGGTTCGCCGCATTTGACCTGGAGCTTGATCTCAAGGACCTCGAGAGCAAGGTTTACTTGTATAAGGTGAGGCTGGAAGGGCCTGTGGGGCAGAAGCTCTAGAGGGAGACTGCAGGTCCTAGGAGGGAAAACAGTGGCTTCCGTGGGTCCCTTGTGGGAACACCAGAGCACCCATAGAGCTCTTGGTTAGAATTACGTTAAGCTCTGGTATAGACAGTACGTCCGCAGGGCTGAGTGTGATTGTGGAACAACAAAGCATAACAATTCTGTAGAAAAACCCATCCTTGTCCCATCACTTAACCAACTGTGTGACCCTAGGTAAGATATTTATCTTCCCAGCGCCTCAGTTTCTTCATTTATGAAGTGCAGGTAACATGGAGCTGTCTCCCGGTGTGTTAAAATGCAAGTGAGATCAGGCAGGAGTTGCTCCTCCCCTCCCCTCTCTCCTTACCCCACCTCCTCGTCCCCTGGTTCCTCTACTCCTTCTGCTCTGGCCTCACTCACCTCTTTGCTCTAGCTGCTCCCTGGGCCTGACACAGTCTTCCCCGGCACCCACAGGGCAATTCCCTCACCCTCAGTGATGCCACCCTGGATGGCCCCATGTGATTCTGCTGTGTTCCCCTCGCTCTGCCTCAGCACACCTGATCCTTTACCCTTTTTTCATAGTACTATGTTTTAAAACACAAATTGCTTGTTTATAGTGATTATAATTTGTCATAAGATTTTAGCCCCCTAAGGGCAGGGGTTTTCGTTTTATTTAGCTATGCCCAACACTCTGTGGGCATTTGCAAAGCATTAGCTATTGTTAATATTTAGCAAATAGTGAATCTGTGTAGGACTTAGTGAAAGTGGGTATGTGTATAAATTACTGGATCTTGTGGAACCTTAAATATATTCTCTGAGATTTTCCTTTGGTGAATGAAGGAGCTGGGGCCCCAAGGGACATGAGTGTCCTTTCTTCCTCCCCTGATAATATGATAGGGCTATTTGGGCAGTAACTGTCCTCCCTGCCTAAGCTGGATCAACAACCCCAGGTGCCTCTTAGCATAACACTTGGTGTAACACTTGGCATACCATGGGATGTTCTGCTGTGTGGTAAGAGGCATGGACATGCCTGGAACATGTATTCCCACCCATCTCTGCCAGGTTCTGCTCTCTGCCTTGCCCCTCTCTGCTCTTATGGCTCCTGTACCATTGTGTGGCCTGGGCCAAACAGAGAAAACTGATGGCTGCAACCAGAGTAGAGATGGGGCAATAGGCTTTGGGGACCAATGGAACCCTAAGAACCCCTTTTCCTCTGCTGACCTCAGGATGGTGAGATGATCCCCTATGGCTCCAATAACCAGACCAAGCACTGTCTTCGGCGGCTGGGGAAACGGTACTGCTTCCAGATCCTGGACCTGCAACCAGAGGATGCTGGCCTTTACCAGGTCAAGGTGGAGGATGCTGTAGTCTTCTCCACAGAACTGGACTCTGCTGGTGAGTGTGAAGGGGGAGATCTGTTCCGTGTGGGGGCTCCACTGCTGCTATATTGAGAGGATAAATGTGACATGGCTCCGTCACAAAGACAACCCAGGTGAAAGATACACACCCAGACTCTGCCTTCTGTTGGGGCTCAGCTGGGCCCCACTGGGTTACAGTCATGCCGAAATTGACTGTCATGCCCCTGACCACAGATCTTCTGCCACAACTAGTTGTTTTCAGATTAGATCTAAACTAATTCCACAGCTTCTTGCTGTAGCTTCTCTCCCTTCTGACACATGGCCTTATGGCTCACACTCCCTAACCAGAATCTCCACCTAGGTTGGCCACACCTGTACCTTGCACAGGTCTTACTCTACCCAGATTTCTGTGCCTTGTCCTCAACTTGGAGCCACCGTTTCTGCTTCGTAAACTCTCCCCCATACCCACAAGGGTCTGTGTCCACATCAACTACGACAGCTTGAGGGGGCACTTAGAAATGCCTGGGGAAAGAGAGTTTGGGGTCAATAGACCATAAAGAACATGGCTGAATCAAGGTTGACAAGAGAGAAGAGAGTGGGCTATGAAAAACCTGAAATCAATGTGGGCAAAGGAGTTATCCAGACCTGGGTGTGAGTTCTGCACCGGTCCTTGATTTACTGGCTTCTTTCATGTACCCTACTGTTCCTAAATAGAACTTTTGAGTTTAGAGTTATGGAATTCCCGACCTGAAAATGGCCATGGTGACCACAACCTCACTAAAACTCTTCATTCTATGGCTGACTCCCCAAATAAGGGAGTGACCCATTCAAGATGACACAGGGAGCCTGTAGCCAGGCTGATCCAAACCGGGGTTTCTGAACTCCCAACCCCACTGCATGAGTTTGCACTGTCATGGTGCCAAACTGACAGCCTCATTTCTGCTTCCTTGCAGCCATTCCCCCCAGAATTGTGGTCCCCCTGGCTGAAACTCACTGTAAGGAGAAGGAAGATGCAATATTTGAATGTACTCTCTCCAAACCCTGTCCCAACGCTACCTGGTATTTCCAGCACCAGCCACTCCGGCTCAGTGACAAATATGAAATGACTGTGTCTCCTGATGGGCTCACCCATCGGCTGCTGGTGAGAGGGGCTCGCCTCTCAGACAGGGGCCTCTATTCGCTGGGCACAGGACTCCATGCCTCCAGTGCCTGGCTGGTGGTTGAAGGTAAGTGGAGACACCCTTGGCTTTTCATGGCTCCCCATAAAGTCCTCAGGGATGACACAGTGGGGTTTCCCTGTGGTCAGTCATTTGCTGCTGAATACATCCTTACTCAGAGAGACCCAGGAGCCTCCTTAGTTCTATACTTGACCCACTTCCCAGATACATTTGGTCTAGTAGGCTTCCTGGAGTACTCTGGGGAAAATGGCCCTTGGGTTCTGGAAGAACTTGAGACCATCAAGCACTGTCAAACCTCCCTAGGGATTGGGATCTGGGTTAATAGGATCCCAGGAAACTATAAATATCAGGCTGGTAGTAGGATAAGTGGATCTTTTAAAAATTATGCAATTGCATATGGTAAGTAAATGATTTGGCTTATGTAGTTATGTGTCAAGATACTCAAGACCAGCCAAATGTTGTGGCACACACCTGTGATCCCAGATACCTTGGAAACTGAGAGAGGAGGATCTTAAATTGGAGGCCAGCCTGGACAACTTAGTGAGACTCTGCCTCAAAATTGATAAAAAGGCTGAGGATGGAGCTCAGTGACAGAATATCCTCTGGGTTCAATTCCTAGTATTGGAAAAAAACAAATCAAATATACCACCAAAACTGAAGAACCATGTAGCAGATAGAGTGGGATTGGGGAAAGCAGTGATGGGATTTATCTGTCAGTCCACTGGAACATCATGATTTTCTTCCCATGGGTCAGCTTGCTTCTCTACTGGGGAAACCGTGGGTCAGGTAAAGCTATCTGGTCAGGCAGGTGCCTTGGCCTGATTTAATGGGGTTTTGGTCTTTTTTCTTGTCTGTCTGTGGGGGCATTGACCACGTAAATAACACCTCATCGAAGCTGGGAAGGAGAAAGGCCTTCAGACCACAAGTGCTGACCGCCAGCTGCAGACACAAGGAGCTAAGGCCTCAGATGCAGAAGACTCCAAGGGCATCAGTGGCGAGGGAGGGAAACCCAGAGAGAAGGGCCCCACAGGAAGCTCCCTCAAGCGGCTGGAGCCAGCTTCTGGGCTCCAGCTCACTATGGGCCCAGACTGTGGTGGCCCTGGCAGGCATGACTACTCCTTGATAGAGGGTGAGGGGGAAGCTGACTCAGCCTGGATCCCTGGGCAGGAGAGAAAGGACTTTCTAGAAGCAGAGAGGAACAGAGCCATTCTTTCAAGAGAAAATCAGCCTTACCTAGAAGAAGACTGGGATAAGAGCCTCTTAGGGAGGTCTCATTTGCAGAGAGAAGGCCCAGAATCAGGCTTGGGCTTCAAGGAAAGAGAATATCAAGGCTGTGGCAGAGAAGGTCATGGGGACAGAAGCTGGGGGACAGAAGGAAGCTGGGAGGCTGGGTCCAGTCATCCTCAAGCTGGAAGACTGGGGAGTAGCAGGGAAGGAAGGGATCCCAGAAAGGACAGTGACAGTCAACTGGACATACATGGCCAGAAACAACTCTGGGATGCTCAAGTGCAACCTGGAACAGGGAAGAGGGCCCAGTGGGGATACCAGTTTGATCCTGAGAGATCTTGGCCAAAAGAGGAGGGGACAGGAAGGATTCTACAAGGCAATCATCTGAATGAGATGGAGAGAAGAGACAGCCCAAGCAGGGGAAGGGGGAGGGGAGCAGCAGGGGGAGCATGGGCTGGAGGCACTGGTGTAGAGGAAGCTGGAGAGAGCAGTGGCATAGGAAGTTCTGATATCCTGAAGTTTCCCAGAGGAGGAGGAGGTTCCAGCTTCAAGGCAGGCATGGGTCCTGAGTCCTGGAGCTCTCAGAGAGATGGAGATGCTGGTCCTGAGGAAGCCAGGGGCTCCTGGGGGCCAGGGGAATATTCAGGACAGACACCTAGAGACAAGTACCTTCAGGAACCCTCCCTAACCAGAGGTGAGAAGTTTATCCCAGGGGACAGGAGTCCTGAGACCGGAGCTGAGGACTCACTGCAGGGCACAGATGACCTAGGGTCTGGGAAGACTGAAGTTAGAAGAAGGAGCTATAAAACTGGCCCAGGGGGCCTCGGAGATGCCAGGGACTGGGAAGGTGACCAACAAGAACTTCAGGGAAGCAATGGCCAGTTCACAGCTGGGGCCTTAGGTAGAACAGAGGGTGAATCCAGAAGTCTCCAGTTTCCCCAGGGCTGGACATCAGGGCAGAAGGGAGCAGGGGAGCCTGGCAGAATAGAGTCTGAGAGCCCAGATCCTCAAGATGATACATGGTCCCATGTTAGAAAGACCAGGACCTACCCCGGGCCTGCAGTTCGGGGGCCCAGTGGTAGAGGAGGAAATGGGACCCAGGCAGCTGAGTTGATGGAGCCTGGTCGGGCCGGAGATGCCAGAAGTCACAAGCTGGTTAGGGTTCCAGGTGAGGGTACTCAGAAATATGGAAGAACGCAAGGAAACACCAAAGGATTAAGAGAGCCAGGGGCAGTAGGACCCAGCCCGGATTTCTGGAATGGGTCAGGAAGCATCAGGGAAGGACCCAGAGAAGAGATGGGCTTCAACGATGGCTTAGAAGGCCCGAGAAAAGTGGAATCTAGGTATGAGGACAGTTCAGGGTATTCTGGAGAACTAGGTCCTGGAATTGGAGTTGCTTATAGTGATGGCACAGAGGTGCTGGGGAAAATGGGGTCTGGTCATGGTGCTGGGTATAGTGTTGTCTCTGGGGCACCTGTTGGAACAGAGTCTGAGGAAGAGCATGCTTACGCACATGACTCACAGGTGCCTGGGGGAATGTGGTATGGAAACAAAGGTCACCGTGGTCCTGCTGGAAGTGGGTCTGGAAGAACCACCAGTCTCAGAAATGGTTTGGGGAGCCCCAGTGGGCTATCCAAAGATAAAGCCTGGGATTGGGGTCCATCGAGGAGCCAGAAGCAAACAGGCCCTGAAGGAGAGCACTGTTTTGATGGCTTAGGGGGCCCTAAGACAGGAGGGTCTGTGGGTATAGGTGATCTCAAAGCCCCTGGAACAGCACAGACTATTGGGGAGGGACGTGTAGAAGCAGGAGGGGGTTCTGCAAGAATAAGGCCTCAGGGTCAGAGTGGAGATTCTAGGGGCTTCAGAGCCACAGGAGCTCTGGGGACCTTTGGAAAAGGTGGCTATGAAAATGGCATTAGGGGCCCAAGAGCCACAGAGCCAGGGTCTCTGAGGGCAGGAGGCAAAGATGGTGATGGAGGTGAGACAAGGGCCACTGGAGCTACAGCTGAGTATGGGGACAATAGCCAGCAGTGGGAAGCCCTAGGGCCTCATGCTGGGACCTCTTCTAACAGCCAGTGGGCTGAGGGGTCTGGCCGTATGCTGAGGTATGGGGATGGATCTGAAATTCCAGAGCCTCTTGGAACTGGGGAGAGAAGAGCTTATGGAGAAGGGCCACGAGGACTCGGGCCTGGGAAAACACAGCCAAGAGATGGGGCAGGCTACAGAGATGGCTCTGGACAACTCAGAGGAATGGGACCTGAGAATGATACAGGTTACAGGAATGCTATTGGGGCTTCTGGGGAAAGGGGATCAGGAGGCGAGGCAGGTTATAAAAATGTTCCAGGAGCTTCTGAGAAGATTCCATTAGAAAGTGAGGCAGCTTTTAGGGATGGTTTTGGAGAAACTGGGGAAATGGGTTTGCAAAATGAAGTTGGTTTCAAGGGAAGATTGGGCAGATCTAGAGAAAAGGGGTCGGAAGGTGAGATGTGCTATGGAGGTGACTCTGGGAGGTCTGGAGTATCAGGATCACTCACTGGAATGGGCCATGAAGCCATGGAGTGTGGGTCAGAACCTGAGGGTGGCAGAAGCTCTAAGCCAGGTTCAGAGAGAAGCAGAGGAATGGAGCTCGCCAATGGGACAGGTCTTGGAGTAGGCTCTGGGATGGCTGGAATGCCTCATAAGGTTGGTGCAGCACATATGGACAGCCTCAAGTGCCCAGGGGCACTTGAAGGGTCAGAAGGATGGGGTTCCAAAAAAGGTCTTGGGGGCTATGAAACCTCAGGAATCTCTGATTCCTTGGGGACTGTTGATTCCAAGGGGAAATTGGGTGTCAGAGAAGGGCACCATGGTCCTGGGAGGAGCTCCCAGTGGAGAGGAGCTTCTAGTGGGGAGGGTGAGTCTGCCGATGAAGCAGGGAGGATGGGAGCTTCCAGGTTTCTTGATGAGACATGGGCAGTGAAGGATGAGACCCAGACAGGTACTGCTGCTCAGGAGTCTGGACACAAACAGGACTTTTGGGAAGTAGGCTCAGGGACAACAGACAAGGTTAGATTTGCTGACCAGGGAGGAGCAGCAGCTCAGGGAAGTGTGGACTCAGTGCCAGGAAGCAGAGGGATGGGAGCAGGTTCTAGGAGATCATCAGGGAAAGGACAGAGTGTGTGCAGCAGTTCTGTGCCTCAGGGAAGGGGCAAGTCACCATCAGGGCCAGCCAATGAGCAAGAGGGGAGCCATGCTTGGGCCCCAGGCTGGGAAGACGAGGGGAGTGGCCAAGGCAGCATGGGTGCTGGAAACAAACCTTCAGGCTCCCAGACTTCCAGTTCTCTGCAAGAGAATGATGCCAGTACCAGGAAAGCCCACAGGAGACCAGGGGGCTCTAAAGGCAGGGAATTTTTGCCAGGTCAAGAGGCTGCTGGTGAATGTCCAGGTCCATGGTCCCAGGACAGCGGAGGTTCAGGTCCCAGGAGAGGAAGGTCTACTGGTGCAGAGGACTCAGATGTCCTGGGAAAGGAGAATTTCACTGAGTCAAAGGATGGTCTCACCCCAAAACCTGTGGAGTCAGGACCCCAGGAAACCTGGAATGGCTTAGATGTTTCCTCTGGCAGAAAAGTCTCTAAAGATAGATTGGGAGGGATCCAGGGCCCTGGTTATCATTCCAGAGAAAAGGGGCGATTTGAGGAGCAGGGGTTCCTAGAGGGCAAGAATGACAGGGCCCAAGGTCCTGGGGGCCTAAAGGAGTATGGAAGGCAAGAGACAGAAGAGTTTGGCAGGTCAGGCCAAAGGTCTGATCCCCGCAGGAGCAGGTATCAGGGACAATCAGGGTCTGAGGTTGGACCAGCAAAGAGAAGGGATGCAGATGAGGCCAGAGGCATGAGGCGGAAGCCTGGCAGTGAAGATGAAGGGTACCTGGGGGAGACTTGGAGTGAAGACGGGAGCCGGGGGTCCCCCAGGCATCTTGGCAGCAGGAGAGGTGCCAAAGAGGGCAAGTCGGATGTCTGTGATGAGGGGCGGGATGCCACTCAGAGCCCCAGATCCAGATACAAGGCCAGCACTGGCAGTTCCTCCACGGAGGCCCAAGGTAGGTCTTCCCAGCTGGGCTGCTTCCATGGGGTGGAGCCAAGGGGAGCTCCTTAGCCACTGGGGTGCCTGGGTCAGTCACCATTCCACCTCCAGCCCTGGGAGTTTGTCCCTATCAGCTGCCCAGTTTCAACCTTTTGCAGGTTCAGGAAGCAGCCTTTTCCTCCTTTGCATGCAGGATCCTGGCTGCGTGAGGCTCAGAGGTCTTGAAACTATGTCCAAAGTAACAGAATTGTTGGCTTAACTCTGTGTGGGTGACCCAGACCTCCCAGCTGTGTGTCTTGGGGGCCTCTTCATGTACCTTAAACCCCCAGATCTCCTGCATTAGCCACAGTCCTGCTTTGAAAAATGGGAAGCTTGGCTTTGCTGGCATTGGTTGAGCCCAGTTGGCAGGACCATGGTTACCTCCAGGGTTCAGTGCAGGCCATGGCCTGGGAGGCTGGCCCTTGAGGACTGTCTGTGTCTCTCCAGGACACACAGGCCACTTCTCTCAAGGCCTGGCTGACATGGAAGTGCAGCAGGGTGAGGCTGCCGTGCTTTCCTGTACCATCACCAGGGACCTGGGACCCGGCGCCTGGTTTAAGGATGGAGTCAAGGTACTGGCCTCCTCACATCTTCCCTGGGGTTGATGGGGTGGGGTTGTGGTAATAGCAACAAAGCCAAAGGAAGTACATGGTAGAGGCGTCACAAAGAAGACTTTATTCTTCATTGATGATCCAACCTACATTTTACTAAAGGGAAGTTTAAGTAGCCAGCAATTTAGTGTGTTTAAAAAGATGTTTAAATGAATGCTCGTCCTATTACTTCCTTCCTTGACCCATCTTTATTCTACCATCTAAAATACCTGTTCCATAGCCACCTCTGCTGAATTCTTCCCATTTTTCAAGACCTTGTACAAACCAGGCAGACTGGCTGACGCCATTATAGCGTTTATGTCAGGAAGAGACACAGCACAGTATTTCAGAGCACTGGCCATGTCATCAGCGTCATCTGGCTCCAGACTCAGTTCTACTGCCACCACTTGGCTGACCTTGGATAAGGTCTTCAGCTATAAGATGGAACTAAAGTAGTAACTACCACACGAGGTTGTTGTGACAGTTAAATGAGATACTAGGCACACACAGTGTCAGCCCTGCCAGTGTATGATAAGCATCCCTTCCATGCAGCTCTAAGGGGTCTAGCAATTGCTCCACCAGAGGACTTAGTTAGCAGCTAGAGCAGCAAGGTGAGGGTGGAAATGACCATCTCCACTGTGGCCTTTGTCTCCAGCTCTCCTCCCAGGATGGCGTCATCTTAGAGCAAGACGGACTTGTGCACAGACTCCGGATTGCCCACGTGCAAGCAGCCCAGGCTGGGAAGTACACATTTGTAGCAGGCAACCAACAGAGTGAGGCCACCCTGACTGTTCATGGTAAGGAGGCCCTGCCCTCCCCTGTCCTATATTCTCTGCATCGGCTGATACACTCCATTTGAAAGTCCCTGATGTGTAGCTGTCTGACCTCTTTCCTTGTCAGGAAATCCTTGGTCCCTCCTGCTACAGACAAAGCCATTTCCCTTGCTCAGGTGGTTGGGGTAAGGGGTTCCTTACTCTGAGCCCAACCATCCTTCTGGCTCTTTCTGTGCTCCCCAGGGGCCTTGTGCATGGTCTTCCTTTACCCTCTTGCTCTGTTTTTTCTCTAGATCCCCCCACCATATCTCCAGATGTGACAGAGAAACTGAAGGAGCCACTGGTGGTCAAGGCTGGGCAACCAGTAACAGTGAAGATCCCCTTCCAGAGTCGCCTCCCTGCTCAGGCTTCCTGGAGGAAGGATGGGGCTGAAGTGCTGGGCAGCAGCCACAGAGGGGCTCAGGTGGCCCTGGGAGATGGCTACACCAGGCTGTGTCTCCCTAGCACCTCCAGGAAAGACAGTGGCCAGTACAGCGTGACACTGAGGAGCGAGGGAGGCTCTGTGCAGGCTGATGTCACTCTGCAAGTCATAGGTGCCAGCTCCAGGTTCTCACCAACTGAGACCCTAGAGTTCCCATGTTCCCAGGTCGTTCCTCCCCTTCCCAGGGCCCCATCTGAGATCTGAGTGAGGTCTCTGTCAGCTTGACCATTATTTAAATGCTATTTAAGATCCAACGCCCCACTCACTTATCCTCTCCCTTCCCTAGACTGGGTAGGGAGAAGGAGTTGGGATACACAAGGGCTGGACTCCAGCTTCTGTGAGCCCTAACACACTGGCCCTAGGGAAGTTGTCAGGTGGGACAGTGGCCCCCAGCTCCAGTGGTGCCTCTGCACAGAGGTCTGAGCAGATGCCCATTCTGGCCACTGAACAATGGGGCAGGGCACAGGCTGGGGTGTTCCATGGTTCCTCCCTGGCTGTGTGGAGAGACGGAGGACAAGGACAGCTGTTTATGCCAGGAGCTATCTATGCCTCTGGGTAACCTGGGAAGCTCTCTGGGTCACTTGGGAAGTACTCCCCATTGCAGCCTTATCTGCTGATGGGCAGGGGTGGGGACCATTCTTCTCTAGCTTCTCTGACCTGCTTTTCTTCCTGCTCCTCCTGGTGGGTCCCCAGACAAGCCTCAGGCCCCACAGGGCCCCCTGGAGGTGCAGGATTGCCACAGGGCTGGCATTTGCCTCTCCTGGAGATCCCCAAGGGAAGATGGGGGCCGGGCCGTGGAGCACTATATGGTGGAGAGGCGACAGGCTGGCAGGAGCACTTGGCTGAAGGTGGGCGAGTCTCCCCCAGACAGCACTACCTTCACAGACAGCGGTGTGGAGCAAGGCAAAAAGTACACTTACCGCGTGCGGGCTGTGACCTCGGAGGGGCCTGGGGAGGCTCTGGAGTCTGAGGAGGTGCTGGTGGCTCCTGATGGTGAGAGAAATGGCTGGGACTGGGGTTGGGGTATACTCTCTGGCTCCCCACTGTGCCCAAAGACAGGCAGCTCTGCCCTGTGCCCTGAGGATCATCAGCTTGTGTCAGGGGATCTTGAGGACTCCTACTTCAGATTTATTAGGGATCTGATAGCAGGTCAGGATCTGAGATTTATAGAGTCTTGGCAATAGGCACCGAAAGCCCACTCTCTCAGGATGCTGCTGATGGCCAGCGTCTTTGTCTGTTAGATGTCCCTAGTCTGGAACCTTCTATCAGGACACTGGAGCCTTCAGGACTGACTCTAAAATATAAGGTCAAAATGAATTCTCTGTCCCATCATTCCTACCATTACAGAGCCAGAACAGTGCCCCAGACTAGCTGTCTCAGCCCTGTTAATAGCTTCAAAAGGCAGTGGGTGGCCCTGACCCCATGGCTTCTACCCAGAACCTCCCCATGGACTGGCACCTATCTTCAGCCTCTGTCTAACCACCTCTTTCTCTGTCCCCAGCTCTCCCAGGGCCCCCTTCTGCCCCAACCATTTTGTCAGCTTCTAGCCAGGGCATCACTATAACATGGGCAGCACCTCATGGCCGTGGCAGTGCCCACATCCTGGGTTACCTGATTGAGAAGTGCAAGAAGGGGAGCAACACCTGGACAGCTGTGAATGACCAGCTCATGTCTGGTAAGCAGACCTGGGCAGCAGATGTTCTTGTGCTCCTGGTTCCAAGATGCCTTAGTGCCTTAGACCCCTCCTAGTACCAAAATCTTTTGGTATTATCAGGCTGATTGGTCTAACAAAGTGGGTCTCATCTGGTGTGGTTTTGTCCTCAAAGAGGATGTGTTTGTCAGTTGCTTGTTGCTAGGACAAAATACTTGTCATATGCAAGTTTAAAAGAAGAAAGCTTTATTTTGGCTCACAGCTTCAGAGGTTCAGTCCATGGTCAGCTAGTTCCAAGGCAGAAACAATATGGTAGAAGGGCATTGTGGAAGAAATCTGCTCACTTTATGGCAGTCAGGAAACAGAGAAGGAGCAAGAGATCCAGAGAAAAGGGGCTAAGAACAGGATGCACTCTTCAAAGGTACACTCCTGTGACCTACATGCTCCAACTGAGTCCCAGTCCACTATGAACTCATCAGTGGATTAATCCCTCAATACAAGGCCTCAATATGTGAATCTTTGGGGGACATTTTATATTTAAACCATAACGGGACATTTGACAACATTTTGAGCTAATTTTGTTTGTCACAAGTGAATGGGGAATAGACACTCAGAATCTAGTGCAAAAAGGTCAGGGATGCTGCTAAACATTCTACATCCATTTTTAAAAAAGAATATTCTGGTGCATGAGGGAGGGGCTTGTTAGGACCCTGAGCTTGGATTTCTTCTCAGAGGTACCAAGGTATCTCCCCAATGCCTGCCCTACTGAGGGCAGGACTGATGAAAGTGGATTCTTCACAGAAAGGAGATGCACCATAACAGACGTGCGGCAGGGCTGTCAGTATCAGTTCCGGGTCACAGCGGTGGCTCCCTCAGGCCCTGGAGAGCCTGGGCCCCCATCGGATGCTGTCTTTGCCCGGGACCCCATGAGTAAGTAGGGCACTAACCCAGGATGGGGATGGGGTGGGTGGTAAGGATGAGGTAAGTCTGAAACCAGGTGGGACAGGACAGAAGGTCACAGTTCAGGGGCAGTCCTGAAGGAAATGCTTAGGAAAGCTGGAGGGTAAAGATAGAGCAGCCGCTGGGGAGAGATGTAACTTGGGGGCTCCAAACCAAAAATCAAACGGCCCAGAGGCCAGGCAGTGGGAATTAGAGGACTCCTTCCTAAGATTATGTCACGCTGGGCCTCTGGGAAGATTAGTCCTCAAGTGGCACTTGTCCCGGTCTTTTAACTATCTACCACTCCAGTAGGGCAGTATCACCCTTAGGAGGCAGGTTCTCTACCCAGTGAATGTTGCTCATCACCCACTAGATGGCCCACATCGTGCCAGGATCTCAGTCCACTAAGCCTGTTCTGTGCTCTTGAGAAACTGATGGTCTAGAGCCATTTCCCTATCAGTGCTCTCAGAACATCGGAGAGGTGCCAAGTAAATGTTCTCAGGACGACAGACACAGCACAGAGGACTGGGGACAGTGGCACATGCCTGCAATCCCAGCACTCAGGAGGCTGAACCAAAAGGATGGAGAGTTTGAGGCTAGCTCGGGTTATACTGCAAGATGTTACCTCAACACAGACCAAGCCAAACAAAACAAATGCAGAGTTGAGGAGTGCTGCTCTAGGCCTGCAGTTTTCAAACTTCATCACATATTTAGAAATCTCGGAGGAGCTCCTGTACAAATGCTGGTGCCTTGCTACACCCCAGAATCTGAATCTCTCTGCAGCTGGTCTTTGGGTACCAGGACTGTTGAGCTCCCCAGATGTATCCAACTGCTGCTGGGCTTCAGAGTCGGAGCTCCAGGCTGCTATGTGATTTCCAAAGGCCTTTCCCACTCATCACATTGTGCCTTTTGCTTGTTCTAAAACCCCTATGCATATGTAAGGTATTACTATCCTCACTGGACAGATGAAGAACTAAGAGTCTTCACTCAGTGCTCCAGATGCAGTCTCCACAAAGAGTTTACAGTTCAGAATACAAAGAATTCTAGTCTTCTAGAGGGGATAAAGAAGCCTAAGAGGTCATCAACTAATATGCCAGTTTTCAAGAATTACAAAGGATGCTTAGGGGAAGGGGGTGAGCAAGTTAGTGGAGTGGAATAATGGGGGCTGGGGGGGAGGCTTCCTGGAGGAGGTGGCTTGGGATCTGTGTGTGAATAGCTGAGGCGCAATACCGGCAGGAAGAAGAGTTTGGTTGCGTATCAGGAACTGCTAAAGGAGAGGAATTCTGCCTCCTGTGGGAAGACTGATGATTGGCCTCCCTCAGGAGGGCTGATGCCATTTGTGACATTCTCTTGGTGCTTGGCCAGGATCCCCAGGGCCTGTGCAGGATCTCCGGGTCACAGACACGTCAAACACCAGCATCACCCTCAGCTGGATGGGGCCGGATCCCCAGGACGGGGATGATGCCCAGGGGTACCTGGTGGAGCTGTGTGGCTCTGACAGTCTCCAGTGGAGCCCATGCCATGCAGGCATGGTGTCAGGCACCACCTTCACAGCCAAGGGGCTCCGGCCCCAAGAGGGCTATTTTGTGCGGGTGACAGCAGTCAATGATGAGGGATGCAGCCAGCCCAAGGCCTTGGACACAGTAGTGCACGCCACGCCTCCCACTGGTGAGTGTGCCCCCTTGCCCCACTGCAAGTGCTGTGGCCTTTCTGAAAGAGTCCTGATCTACCACCGTGCACTTGGCATGTCAAGACCTCAATTCCCTCCCTCCACCCCATCTCCAGCTTAAGGAACTAAGCATAGCTCTCATGCTGGGTGCTGGACTGAGAAGGCTCTTTTTAGAACGTATTCTTTACAGTCTACATCTATCTTACAAGTTAATTTTTTTGGTTCCCAGTTGACAGAGAAGGAAACTGAGATTTAAGGTGCTTTGTCCACCATCTCACTGGGGGTAAGAGGCAGAGCCAGGATTTAAAGGGGTGACTCCAAGTCATTAGTGCTGTACAGCTCTGTCAGTGCTGGTCCCACATAGAAGGTGGACTGCTTTTCCCTTCAGGCCTTCATTGCTAGAAGCTGCTGAATGGTCTTTGACCTAAGCTGACACAAGGCCATCCCACAGCTATCTCTGTGACAATAAGGAGATAAGTACAGTGGGAAAACACACATTGCCCAGTATCTGAAATCTCAGCATGTCCTCCAGGTGGCTGTCGGTAACCTAACTGAATGCGTCCCCAGGCAAGTCAGGCACTTCCTGTCTGCCACTGGTAATTATCTCATCTGCAGAACAGAAGAGCTGGGCTGCTGGTCACCTTCTTCCTCATTCCAGCCCAAGCCTGGCCTCTGCTCCTGTCCCTCTCCTGCCAGCATGCCCGCCAGCTCCTGACCCAGCCCACGTGATTTCAGCCACAGTCCGCCACCCCTTCCCTCTGCCCCAATGGTAACCTGGGACAGTGAGGGGTGACCGGCCGTCTTGTGTGTTCCAGTCTGTCCTAAGTTCCTCATGGACTCCAGCACAAAGGACTCCCTGACAGTCAGAGTGGGGGACACCCTTCGTGTGCCTGTCTCCTTTGAAGTGAGTGGACCCAGAAGCTTGTGGGGGAGGGGAGCCCAGTGTGGCCAAGAGTAGCCTGGGTCCTCTTTTCTTCCTTGTTCTTTTTTGGAGCTGACAGGCCAGATATAAGGAAGAAAGGAGTGTCCTCTTGGAAGGCACAGTGTATGCCAGGCTCATGGGCAGCCATTTGGCTCTCCGTCCTCAGTACGCATCACCTCCTAGTGGTAGCTCCCGGTACTGCACCTCCAAACCGCAGTTTCCACTTTTTCCCACCTATCTTTGGAAATCGGGATGAGGGTTCAGAATGTAACTTACCCATCCAGCTTCTGGTTCTTTCCCACCAACCTCTATTATCCCCACCCTCCATGCTCTCCCCACTTGGCCACTACCTCATCACCAGCCTGCTCCCGAGCAGGCACTTGCCATCTCCGTGTCTGTACTCAGGAATTTCCTTCCTGCAGTGTTCTTTCTTCTCCCCACATCTACCCTCAACCCCAACTTCAGTGCAGTCACTTCCACAAAATTCCCTCATCCAACTTCTTCTGCCCCTTTCTTCCCAGGCTGCCCCCATGCCCGAGGTGACCTGGCTGAAAGATGGCCTGCCCTTGCCCAAAAGAAGTGTAACCACCACCAAGGATGGCATCACCCAGCTTCTGATTCCTGCAGCCAGCCTCGCAGACAGCGGCCGCTATGCCGTGGTGCTGAGGGACCCTCAGGGCAAGGAGTTCACCTACAGTTTCCTTGTCAGGGTGGCAGGTGAGGCCGGCGAGGCTCTGAGCTCTGGACTGCAGACACTTGCCAAGCACGGAGGTGACCGCCAGCCTGGACACAGGCCTCAGCTCAAGCCAGCAGGCCTGAGCATCAGGCTGACCCAGCAGCCATGCTCCCCTTGTGCTTGGAGGTAGAGGGGAGAAAGGGGGCTGCTAGAGCACCGCCGGTGTGCTCAAGTCCCTGGGCTTGACCCCAGCACAAAACAGAAAGAAATGAAGGAAGAAAGGGAGGAATGAAGGACAGAGTGAGGGGAGGGAGAGAAAAGAAAGAAAAGAGAAATGAAAGAAAAAGAAAGATAGGCCAAAAAGGAAGGAAAGGCCCAAGGGTCCCTGTAATTGGTTTTTGAAAGCCTCTATCTCTGCCCATATTGTGTCTTTTTGCCTATAATAAATTCAATTGAATTAAAATATTCTTTTAGAGCCTGTGGTACATGCCTGTTATCTTAGCACTCTGGGAGGCTGAGGCAGGAGGATCACAAGCTCAAGCCCAGTGAGGGCAATTTAGTGACTTAGCAAAACCCTGTCTCAAAAAAAACCCCAAATATATATATATATATATATATATATATATATATATATATATAAAAGGGCCGGGGTGATAGCTCCGTAGGAAGGTCCTAGGTTTAACCCTCAGTATGGGAAAAAAGAAAAAAGAAAAAGAAAACAAACCTAAAGCATTATTATCTTGTAAGAGGTTTTCTACCCTCTAAAGATAACTGTATGGCCAACTGGGATCTCCCTGCCCCAGTTACCTGCCTGGAAAGACTGTAATGCCCAAGACCTTGGTTTCTGAGAAGACTTAAGGACCTGGGTGAGGAGGACCATGGTGGGGGCCTTCTCTGTTCCCTACTGCATAGCTTCTCCTTGTCCTGTCTCCCACAGGATGGCCACAGGCCCCTGGGCCCATCCACCTGCAGGAAAATGTGCCTGGGACAGTGACAGTCCAGTGGGAGCCCTCTCCGGATGAGGCCCAGGGCATCCCCTTGCACTACACAGTGCTGATGCGTTCCTCGTCACATGGCTCCTGGCAGGAGGTGGCTGACCGTGTCCACACCAACCGCTTCACTCTCCTGGGTGTCCTCCCTGGCCGTGAGTACCACTTCCGGGTGGTGGCCAAGAGTGAGCTGGGTGCCAGCAGGCCATCAGACACCACCCAGCCTTGGTGCCTCCTTCGACAGCGAGGTGAGTGTCTCCTGGGGAGGAAGGCGTTAGCTGGCTCCCCTCTGTGGGGCAGCCGTGACCCCTAGAGATGAGCATGCAGTGGGGGACTGAGCAGTAGCAATGGCAGAGATGGCTTAGGGCCCATCCAAAGGACCACCTGGACATGAGCCCAGACAGAGCCTTTGCTCAGCTTCTCATGTCCTGCCTGATCCCACCTCTACTGATGTCCTCTGCATCCAAACTCAGGGTGGGTTCCACACCCACTGGGGGGACATTTGGAGCCTGGGTCTGGGTGTCTTGGATGCCTTTGGGTGACTTCTCAGAAGCAGTGGTGGAAAAAGAGGAAAAGAAGTTAAGGTCCTATGATGACAAAGTGCACTTTACGACCAAATAGATGTAAAAGCAAACTATAAAATCACAGAGTTGATTTCATACACAAAAATATCTACATGTTGCTACACCAATGTGTTGGCCGCAGTCATAGGTAGTGAAATTACGGTTGGTTTTTATTCTTACACTATTTGATTCTCTTATGTGCTCTAACTGATCCACAAAGAATAAGTATTAGGCTATACCCCCACCCAATCCCCAAAGAATTTCAGGAAAAAGATAAAAACAATCAGTCAAAAAGTGCAGGTGAGATGTGGTGGGAGGTCAGGGAACGCCTCTGCAGGACCAGTATCTAGACTGGCCCTGCCAGGGCTTTCCCCGCTTTCTAACCGTGTCCGGCACTCACCACAGACAAGTTCACAGTGAAGACACCTCGCTACCGGGACCTCAATCTGAGCCAGAAGCCCCGCTTCCTGGTGGGCCTTCGGACCCACCTAGTGCCCCAGGGCTGTGAGTGCCACATGACCTGCGCAGTTCAGGGCTCACCCCGGCCCCACATCACCTGGTTCAAGAATGGCCAGAGCCTGGAAGGACACAAGACAGCCTACAGCACTGACATGTTGGGTGTGTGCTCCCTCGTCATCCCCAGCGTCTCCCCTGAGGATGGAGGCCAGTACAAGGCAGTGGCTGAGAACCCACTGGGCCAGGCTATCAGCACTGCCACCCTCATTGTCATAGGTAATGGTGGCTGTCCTGGGGTGGGCTGAGCTAGCCGGGGCAGGGCAAGGGCAGTCAGCCTCTCTTCTGTGGAGGGATTGCCAGGCATCAGGGGAGCAGCAGTCCCTGCTGTTGAACCTGGCTGTCACACCTTGACGTACCTGTTTGTACAGCCAAGGAACTGAGCTACTCCTGACTGTGGAGCCATGTGCTGCCCACACAAGCTCTGGGCCTGGCTTTCCACAGGCCTCAGCATGGGAGCTGAGTGGTTTCTTCTGGATATCTGTCATAAATCACTCCCAGACATAGACATTTAGTGCCAGAAAGCCGAGCTGGTGGGTTCCTTCTCAGTAAAGGAAATATTATGAGTTGATCAAAATATATGGTGAATGTTAAATTAAAAATGTTACTATAATAAGAGACACATTCCCACAGATCCCCCTTAGAATACTCCCTCACTTTGAACAATTTATCCCATCATTCTTTTCCCTTTGTGAAGCAGTTCTGCAACTCCTCTTTCATGAGTGTCTTTATAAGCTGATAAAAAAAGATGGCGAATATGATTGTTAAGTACCAGCTCACAAAAAGACAGGTTTGTAAGAATACTATGGTGTCTCCTCACCCACCTTATTCTCTAGATCTAGCACCATGTGGCCTCTTGCTTCTTCCCAATGTCAAAATGATCATGAAAGGTAAATGTTTTGAATTAAATCAGGGCATTAAGGCAGCCACGATAGCTCAGCTAAAGACATTCACAGAACTAGATTTCCAGAACCACTTCCAAAGGTGGGAAGAAAATATGTTTGAAGTAAGGGGAACATTGGTATTGTATTAATATTTAAAATTTAAACATTCATCATACTTCTTGATCATTCCCTAAACAGTCCTGGAAAAAAGTGAGCAATTGGGGGTAGTTACTGTTGCTAAAGGGGATGTGGAGGGACTTTGCCCAAACTCAGGAAGCATTGTAGCAGCTCTGGATTTGAGCTCATACCACTGACTGACATAGAACCCACGGAGCTAACCCCAAGCTGTACTGTCTTCACAATGGGACAGGTGTGGGAGGCACAGCTACCCCTAGGTGCCCTTTCTGGACCAGCTGGAATATCCCATGTCTTGCAGAACCCAGCTCCTAGGCCCACCTTGCTGGGATGGCCCTGCCTGGACCCATGGCCTCGGAATGGATGATAGATCTCTACAGCTTCACTCCTGACACTGATACCAGCCTGGGGAGCCAACCCCCATGGATGGAAGCTGTGCCCAGAGGCACAAGAAGACAGCAATGAGGGGCCCTCTGGAGAAGCTTTGCCTGGAGGACATGGAGTCCTTGGGGAAGAAGAAGAAGGATGGGCAAGGTAGCCCTAAGCTAAGCCACTGCACAGGATGACCGCACCCTGCTAGGCCCTGACCACATGGATTTCTTTATTTTATACTTCAGGAGATCTGGACAGAATCATCTGTGGGAGGGAATCAGGCTCTTGTTTGCTAGGCCCCTTGGAGGGAGGGTGAGATCAGCAGAGCAGCTGTGACCACAGTGGGGGAAAGTGAAGAAGATCAGAAGACCTGGCATCAAGGGCTTGAAGTATGTGTGTGTGGCGGGGGGGGGGGGGCTTCTCTCTCTGTATTTGCCTTTATTAAAGCATCAGACTAAGAAAAGGCAAATCCTTTGTAGATTAATTCAGGCTTGATATATTGGGGGTGAAATCTCAAAGAAAGATTTTTTTCTTTCATACCAAGTTTCTGTTGAGAGGCTGAGTGAGCTCTGAGCAAAGAATGGAATCAGAATCAGACCTTCTGCAGGCCAGGCCACACAGCAGATTGCAAAGCAGGAAGCTAAGAAAAGTTAGAGGCTCAGTGTGACAGAGGCCTCTCCTCATCCTGGCTCCTGCCTCCTAAGTGTCATTGTCCTTGCAGCAGCAGGGCTAGAGGCTTCCCCAGGTCTTGCAGGTCTAGAAAACACAGGGCTGGTTGCCTAGGATGCTCTGCACCTGTCCTCCTGGATCCAGGAACAGCCTGGGCTGGGAGAATCCTATTTGGGAACTGCTCTGTGGACCACTGCCACTCAAGGTGAGAGACCCAAATAATGCATGGAGACTTGGCTCCCACTCAGGGCTTTGTGGGGACTCCTCACCTTTTCTGTAGCCCCACCACCAAGAAGCACATCTCTTAGATCTGCCACCACCTTCCCACCCCCAACCCCAACATTCGCTTTTCTTCATCCTCAGAAGTGTAGTCCTGCATCTCCAGGGCTCTCAGGAAAAGGAAGGGCCCTGGGAGAGGCCAAACCCACCCTGCCCTAGCATGTAGCTCCCAAGTCTAGCAGTCCACCTCCCAATCTATTCTTCCCTCCTCCCGATAGGACCATGGCTGTCAGAGAAATCACAGCCTTTTGGTCAAATGCCAAAGGGAAAAATTCCTATGGCAAGTGAATTTACTATTACACCCTATGGCAAGAGGGTGTGTGTGTGTGTGTGTGTGTGTGTGTGTGTGTGTGTGTCTGTTTACCTTGTGGAACAATAGCAACTGAACATGCAGAGTTCTGGCCTCTGGAGCCTGGGACAATGGGAAGCCATGGTCTACTTTGGGAATAACCAGCAGAGACCTTAAAATATATCTCAGGCAAGTAGGTGTGTGTCCTTGAGATGGGCTTGCAATCTCCATAATGGTGCTAGACTATGGAGACAAAAACAGCATCACAACATTTCCACATAAAGCCTTTGCCAATCAAGTACATGGAAACTGAGCAAGAATTTGAGGCTTGGAAAACCAGTTGTGCTGATAACTAATAGTGTGTTCTCCAGTAAGACCTTAACCTATTAACAACTGTTTTCTCACTTAGAGATTAAAGTTGTCTGACCCAAAGTCTCAATGGTTCCTTTAGAAGTTTTATCATTTTAATTCTTACATTTTTAGTGTATCCATTTTGAGTTAATTTGTGTTTGAGATACGAGATAAGAGTGCACAGTTCTTTTCTTTCATTTTGAATATCCACTTGGTCCAGCATCATTTTTAAAAAGTTTTCCTTTTATGCATTTAATTACCGTGGAATGTTTGTTGAAAATTAACCATTCATGTATGTGTGCGCTTGGGACACTTTGTTCCTTATTCTTCTTCTATATTCTGGAAAAGGTTATACATAATTGATGTTATAGCTCTCTTGAATGTTTGGAAGAAATTACCAATGAAGCCACTGGGTCTGGAGTTCTCTTTGTGGGAAGGATTTGGAGACAAATTCAGTTTTTTTCAATAATTATGTAAGGCAATCTAAGTCACAAACATCTTCTTAAATGGTCTTTGATCATTTTTGACTTGCGGAGAATTTGCCCATTTCACCTTGGTTGTTGAATTAATCTGCATAAAGATGTTCGTGACAGACGTCACAGTGCTTCTCCTGTCCTGTCGGCTGGCTCTGTAGTGACATCGTCGCTTTCATCCTTGAGGTTGCTGACTTCTCTCTTTTACATTTAGTCACTGTGACTACAGATTTAACCTTTTTATCAATCTTTTAAAAGAAACAGCTTTAGGTTTCAATGATTGTCTCTATTATGTTTCTGCTTTTTCCCCCATTGGTTTCTGCTTTGTTATTTCTTTCTGTCTGGTTCCACCGGTTTTAGTTTGCTGTTTCCCCCTCAGAAACTACTAAGACAAAAGTCTAGATTATTGTTTTAGACCTTTATTTCTTTCCTAATATAAGCATTTAGTACTATAAATTTTCCTTTAAATTCTATTTTAGCTACATTCCATGTTTTTCAATTCTCATTTAATTCAACATATTTTCTAATTTGTGTTATTTTTTAACCCATGTGTTGCTTAGAATTCTGTTTACAAACATTGAAGTAGGTATGATTTTTCCAGATGTTCCTTGTGATTTCTACTTAAATTCTATTTGGCTTGAGAAAATACATTTATGATTTTAATACATCCATAAAGGAATCCTGTTTCATGGCCCAAAGGGTTTATCTTATTTAGTGTTCTTTTTGCTGATATGGGGGGTATTCAGCAAAGGTCAGTGAGGCCAAGTTGGTTATAGAGTTGTACAAATCTTCCATATCCTGTTATTTTTATAGTTCCATATGGAAACACAAATCCTGGTATAAACACATTGATATCAAATAAAACAATCTTTACACCAGGTGTATTGGCATATGCCTATAAACCCAGCATTCAGGAGGCTGAGGCAGGAGGATTTCTGAGTTCAAGGCCATCTTGGGCTACACAGTGAGTTCAAGACCAGCCTGAACTAGATGGCAAAACCTTGTCTCAAAAAGATTTTAAAAGGGGAAGTGGGGAAAGGGCCTGGGATATAGCTCAGTGGCACAGTGCTTGCCTGGAAAGTGCAAGGTCATGAGTTCAATTCCTGGTACAAAAAAAAAAAGTAATTTAAAATGTTTGTTTCACCAGAAAAAGACAACAATTTTGAATTGACATATAGTTAAAATATGGTTCCAAAGTATATAAAGAACTATTAAAAATCAGCAAATAAGCTCTGCTTCAGTAAATATATCAAGTAGGAAAAAAGTAGTAACAAGGGTGTAGATGTGACATAACCTGAGCTCAGTGGGTGAACCTGAGCCAATGGATAGACATCAACTTCTGCGCTCGCCACTGGAGAACAGACTGCTTTTGAAGCACACGTAACACATTTATAACACTTGCCAGGGATGAGATCGTAAATGTCACCTGAAAAGTTTCCAATGATTAGTGTCATGGAGACTACACTGTTTGACCACAAATGCAACTGATTTGGAAATTAATAATGGAAGACATATAAGAAAAAGGTGCATATATCTGGAAATTTTGAAAAACACCTTTAATCAACTATTCAAGGAAAAATATAATGGAAAAGAGGAAAATATTTAGTACTGAATGATAACTTTTAAAACCAATAACTATTTTTCAAAAATTGTAGCATCAACAAAAAATAAAACTGCAGAAAAATTTACACTCATATGCTTATTCTGAAAAAGAAAAACAAACTCAATAGTAATGTACTAAGGACCCGTGTCAAAGATATTTTCCTAACTCCCACAGCTAAGTAGTTAAGAATGACTGAGTCTAGCAAATGGACCATGGGCAGAAGAAATGGGAATAACTTCGTGGTCTGACCCTAAAACCTCCTGTGAAAACATACCCACCCCCTTCCCTCATCTAGCATTTATAAAGAATCCTGTGTAGGGCCCTACATATAATCCAGAGTGTGGTAAAGCCACCGAGACAAGGAAATCTCCAAGTTCTCCCTGCCACTGAACTGTGTAGGTAATACATACCTGAATTGGGCTACAAAGATTTGAAGCTCATTATAGCAAGTACCTATCCTGACTAATATAGCAAATAAAAATGAAAACCAAAAAAAAAGCTAAGTAAATTTAAGGAACTTGAAAGAAAATAACAAAAGTAAGAAATTAATTAAGATACATAATAGAAAAGATAGATTCAAATGTTTAAAAAGTAACTATTAACATTGACAAATCTCTTATGATTAATCAAGAGAAATGTGAAAAATAAATACTATGAAGAATGAAAAGGAGAACACATGAAAGATTCAGCCAAGACAAAAGTGACATTTAAAACCGTATGTTAATACTTTTGAAATTTTTGAGGGGAGGTGTAAATGCCTAGAAAAAATTTATTTGTCAAAACAGACTAAAGAAGAGATAGAAAACTTGAATAGTCTTATATGAAATTAAATTGGTAATTAAGAATTTTCTCACTAAGAAAACTCTACTCAGAAATGTGACAGTCTTCCAAATGTTTGGAAGTTTCCAGTAGTTACAGACTTCTTCAATAGCACAGAAAAAGAAGACCCACTTCATGTTATCCTCACTGTGGATCATATGTTTGGTCCTCCAGTGCACAGATTTGGACCCCTCAACTCCTGAGGACAGTGTTTGGAGATAAGCCCACTGAGAGGAAATGAGGGTTAACTAACTCATGGCAGTGGGGACCTCCAGATGGGGTTAGTGCCCTTATTGGAGGAGATACCAGAGCACTTGCTTGCTTATCCCTCCTGCATACACCAAGGAACTTCTAGGTGAGCAGTGGGAGAAGCCAGCCACCTGCAAACCCAGGAGAACCATCACTGGGAACCCAATTGATCAGGACCTTGATATTGGACTTTCCAACCTTTATGACAATTAAATTTCTGATGCTTATGCTACCGCAAGTCTATGGTGTTTTGTTATGGCCACTGAGTTGACTAAAATACTCTTTAGTTAATTAAATGAGTATAGTCTTTCTTGTTACTAGACTCACAAGGACAGTACCAAAGAGAAATTGAAACCACAGATGATGGTGCACACCTATTATCCCAGTATTCAAGAGACTGAACAAGGGAGATTGTGAGTTCAAGACAAGCCTGTGCTACTTAGTGAGTTCAAGGCCAGTTTGGACTATATAACTATACCCTGTGTCACACACACAGTAACTGTATTGGCTAATCTAATTTATTAATGCAGATGTTGGATTCAGTTCACAAACATTTGTGAAGGAATTTTTAAGGAGGAAAAATATTTATGGATCGTGACCATATAGATTTGCTGAATCAATATTGGCAATGACTAAAGTAACCACCACATTGGTAAATTCAAATAGCAAAGCCATACTATCATCCCT